ATTCCTTTTTTTTTGGGGGGGGGGGCGCTTCCGGTGTGTACCGGCCAGCTGGTTTCTCGTCTAAAATGTGTACACTTTAAAAATTAAAAAAAAACGCGCTCGTTATGTTGTACAATGTGCTATGCTGCTTCGGGCTGCAGTGCGGGCCTCAGCAACTTCAATAACAATAATGTCAAATAACCTTTATTTGCGCGAAAAAGGGGAGGTATGTGAATAAGAAAAATGCCGCCATATCCACGAAGTGAATGATGATGAGTGGGCGAAGCTGCGGAGGTAAACCTGGTAAACCATGAATCCTCCGTACATTTTGCCCACTCAATTTTATTACAACGCTCCCCCTTGCGTACGTCGCCGCACTTCCACCAATGACACGCACCATATGTAACATCATTCCTATTTTATAACATCTCGCCTCTTTCACCATCAACTACAAGTACCGCCGTCTAGTTTATAACATCTTGCATCTTTTCATCATCAAATACGAGTACCGCCATCTAGTGAACACTGCAAAAACTAAACGAACGGTGGCTACATACATGGGACGGTACTGCCATCTAGTGAACACTGCAAAAACTAAACGAGAGGTGGCTACATACAGGGGACGCACAGCCCACGCCTTAAGGAGCTTCGCCCCTAAAAAAAGAGGGAGATCATCTTCACACTAGGCGCTACGGAGAGGTACCAACACGTACGCGGAACGCCTGCCAGCCATGCGCCCGGGAAGATTGGTCGACGCCAGCGCCACCGCATCATTCCACGCCGAAACGGCCGCTCCCAGGCAGCTGCTCGCGCCACTCAAAAGCTTCTAGTACACTCTAGCGCGGCGCTTCAGCGAGCGTGGGAATGATGGGTAGTACTACAGTGGCTAGAATAGGCCTATTCTATAGCCACTGTAGTAGTCACGCTTCCTCCGAGGTAGTAGACTGGTAGTATACACATTTGTCTAATATTCGTACTTCTGGCCTGCCTTTGACTACGTGTGTGTTCGTGTGGCTTGGAGCTGTTTTCTTATGAAACAAGTATTAGCAAATGTTCAGTGGTTGCGCTTCACCATTTTAATTTTTTAGACTTACTTTCCAAATTGGCTCACAAAGTTCAAAAGCATTCAATTTTTATTTCAAAACAAAACCGAAACACAGCATTAAACGAAGCCGCAAGTACAATTCGCCGCCCACAAGTACGAAGACTAGGCAAATGTGTGTACTAGTAAACTAAGGTTAGAGTGCCTAGAATATTTCTCCTAGTGTCGTGAACGGGCCGGCCGAGGGGAAATGGTATGCAATACAGCCGCCAGGTGGCAGTACCGCTCTCTAGCGCGCTGCTTTTTCGGCAAGCTGGGGAGGCAGCAAGCCGGAGCAGACGCTTTGCGTTGAAATTGCAGTGGTGGTTTCATGGCTTAGCACGCGATTGCCTTGTTATCCTGCGTTTTCCATGCAGACTGTAAATAAAGCATGTGAATTTGAACGAAATGTATGCGAGCTCTCTGCCTTGTTGAGATTTTGTGTCCTCCTGCCGTGCCGCCTCTTCATAGATTGGCCGCTCGCGCGTTACCAATGCTACTTTTTAAATTGCGGTAATTAAGGGGTGGCCAACCGGGGGCTCCCAGCGGTACGACTGTTCAACACAAAAAATCACATATTTCTCTCCTCATCCGCGACCACCATTCCCTCCTGTAGGCTGCTGTCGCGACTTTGTTGTCATGTGCAGAATCGCAGGCACTGTACAAACCCTCTTCTCGCAACTTTTTATATATACAATGTATTATGGACACTTACTTTCCCTGCACTCGGTGGCAGGCCTGTATGCACCCACGTACAAGGGTCATTATCTCTTCGATTGGCCTTTCACGCCTCGAAGTAATCAGAAAAATAAATAATGCCAAAGCAATGACAGTGCTGATTTTCTGACAGTGCTGATTCCGCTGATCTTGAATCAGTCTCCTCAGGTACTTGCACCTCAAGCAAGCTTTCCCATCCTGCGTAGTAACCAAGCACTTGGGCGAAAAACATCCGCTTCCGAAACGGACGCACTTAGTGCCAGCGGCAGGCTCAATTTCGCAGCCGCAACAAAGAAGCAGATCGTCGGCCCTTTTCAGCGAAGCGAGTGCGTCAGTTTCGGTGCTGACATAGTGCTCTTCCACATTTATGCCGCGGCAGTAAGTACTGCAAAGGTACCCATCTGCAGCACCTACTTCTTTGCTTGACGAAAACACTACGTGTTTCAACACGCACACGTCACCCGGCACTGTATTGTAGTGCCATGCGAAGCACAATGCTTCTGGGTTACTGGGCAAGCAAATTTTGCTGCAAAATGCCGACGGCGGCGTTATGCTGTGAAACGGGTGCGGCGCCTGTGCTGTTTCCTCGCCAGCGGCAGCATCGTCACAGGCCTGGGAAGTCGTGGGTTCATTCGGCGCTTTACGCCTAGCAGGCGGAGCTGTGCAGTCAGCAATATTCCTGTCTTTTCTTTTTCGAGGCACTGGTTTAGTCAGGTAAGCGGGGCCATCCGGGAAAATGGTAGGAACGGCGTCCGGCGTTAGCGATGGTCGTTCACGGTCGAATTCGACGTCCTCGCCGTTGATGACATGCTTGAAAGTTCTTTGGATGTAGCGATCATCAAAATGACGAGAACACGCTACACAAGTTTCGTCTAGAACTTTGTCACCTCTTTTGATGTTTCGCGCCCATTCTTGAATACGAACAGAGACACCTTCTCCTTGAAAGACTTGTACCCGCCTTTGCACAAAGGCACAAAGCACGTTCTTCCTTTTTTTTTTTTTTCAGGCATAGTCACACACAATCGCTGCACGAGATTTCACGGTACATATTCGAAACGTAGCGAGAACACGCTTCACCACACAGACAATTCGCCACCCGACACAACGTTGAAAGGCCCGGCCGGCACGCAAACTGACGCGCCAGTTGCAAGTAGCGCCCCCTAACGCTGAATCCAAATCAATTTCCCAGTCGCCGATGGGGAAGGCGCCTGTTCATGACACTAGGAGAACATTCTAGGCACTCTACTAAGGTGGCATTCTAAGCCACCCTAACTAAACTACTACCCATCATTCCCATGGTCGCTGAACGATGGATGGATGCTATGAGCGTCCCCTTTATAACGGGGTGGTGACAAGTATGCCACCAGGCTTGACAAAAAAAAAAAAAAAACTTTTTTCTTTTTTTTATGTTGGCCTAATGCCTCTACTTCGATAAATTCTATCCTAATGGAAAAAAAGGTAAATTTTCAGCTTAAGTTCTCTGCCATTTACGTCACACTGTCCATATTTTATTTTTCCAATATTTATTTTTGTCCTTTCTCTCTAATTTTCTGCCACCAATACTCTAACCGTCTCTTACTTATTTCAATCGCGGGTGTGTTCAGCTTTCCATTGTTGTCCCTAAAAAACGATCGCAGCGCCAGAGTGCCCTCTAGCTAATTTTAAGAAACTCTATGGTTTTCTTGTGCCAGTGTTCTGTGTAGCAGGTCTGATGATAAATTCAGGCTAGCTTTAGCGGCCTTACTTTAGCGTTTCCGTCAGCAGTTTACTTCAGCTAACAGTTTTACCTCATCTCTCTGTGACGTAACATCAGGTGTGCCCCAGGGCAGTGTCCTTGGTCCTTTACTGTTCCTAATATACATTAACAATTTACCCACAGGCATATCTTCTAACCTGCGTCTTTTCGCTGACTGCATCATTTACCGCTCAATTAAATCCACCGAAGATCACCTCGTACTTCAAAATGATCTCATATTAATTGCAAAGTGGTGTGACAAATGGCAGATGAGTCTTAACTCTACTAAATGCAAGGTTATCACTTTCAGCCGCAAGCGCATCAATTCCGATTTTTCATACCTCATAGATAGCACATTAGTATCCCAGGCATCATCGTATAAATATTTAGGCGTCCATCTCAAGCACAATCTTTCATGGGACATGCATATTAACACCATTACTGCCAAGGCATCCAGGTCACTTGGATACCTGCGCCGGAACTTGTGGAACTCGCCAAGCAGTCTAAGACAACTTGCCTATGAAACCATCGTTCGTCCGCAATTAGAATATGCTTCACCAGTGTGGTCTCCTCATCAAATCTACCTGACTAACAAGCTTGAGTCTGTACAAAACAGAGCCGCTCGTTTCATTACTTCCAACTACAGCCCACATTCCAGCATAACGCAGATCAAACATGACATACCGCTTGTGCCATTAATTGTACGTCGTTCCATTTCTCTTTTATCTTTATTCCATAAATATCGCTATAGCATCAGGCCATCTCCCTTACCACTGGAAGCGCCTTCACGCATATCACGCCGCTTGCATAATCAATATAGCATTAAACGCATCAGTGGACGAACTAAAACTTTCAATTCATCAGCACTTCCCCGAGCCATTGTTCTATGGAATGATCTTCCCGACAATATTGCATCTATCAGTAACCAACAAGCATTTCTTGACCAATTGCGTAAGCATTTCTTGAAATAGTATCATGTCGTCACCATTGCTTCGCGAATTCTTCCGCCATTCTTTCCTTTGCGAGTGTGTGTGATTGGAGAAAAATTGCTTCATGGAATAAGAAATGCTGTTCCTCACTTTGAAAATGCTTTGCACTGTACATATGTATGTGTGTGTATATATATATATACATATATATTTTTTTGTATTTGTTTGTTTTATTTTGTTTATTTTTATATATTTTATTTTGTTTCCCTGTATTTATTAATGCATTTTTCTCTGATATTTTTTGTTTCGTACTTGCTCCCCTTACTCAATGCCCTATCGGGCCCTGTAAGGTATCATGAATAATAAAATTTGTTGTTATCGCGTTCATTGTTTTGCCCGTGCGATAAAACTAGGGTAGCGCCACACCAAGGCTACTGGCGGCAGGAATACGATGTAGATGACAAAAAGCCCACTCTAAGAATTATTCGACTAAAGCTTAAAGTGCTGCTGTCGCGTGTAGATGACGCCACATGCATTTTTTTTCTTCTCTGGCTTGACCGTATGACATGTTTGTGACGTGCAGCGATGTAATAAAGGTAGTTGAGTGCGTTGCGTGTGCGCTGTGCCGTGGTACTGCGCGTCGTAAAACATGACGATTCAAGTTAACATAAACCTGGACATGCACCCAACGTGCGTGGACCTCGTTTTTCCGGATGGTGTACCAAAGGGGGGAAGTGTCCAGTTGAATTTGCTTCGCACTTCGTCCAGATTCGCGTACGTGAACGAACGCGAGTGCGTTCCCGTCGTCAGGCGGAGGGCGAGCGTGCTCGACCAGCGCTATCTCGAGGGAAACATCACTGTGCACGCTTTTCACGAAGATGACGGTCATCCGCTGTGCTTCCTGAAAGCGGCAGCCGCACACGAAGCGGAAATTCCGCGCGGCGAAGGGAATGCGGCTGCTATTGTGGCGAATGATGATGTCAAGCCGGCTTCGTCGCCTCTGACAGCGGTTCACGAAACGGCCGAAGATGTGGCAACAGTCATCTCGGACGCTGTTGGAGCCAGCAGTTGTGAGAATGGCGTTACCGAAGGAGACACCGCCGTGCGTGAGAAGACAGTGCGCGGTAAACCTGAAGTGGCCGCGTCCCGATCGCTTTTACCGCCGTTGTGCACATACATCTGCACAGTTTGCCATTTCCAGTCGACGCACAGGGAAGAAGTTCTGGAACACATCAAAAGTCACGAGAGCGTTCCCGTCGCTGCTTCCAATGTCAGGCAGCCGGCCGCTGATAAGGGTGCAGTCATGCGCGACAAAATCGCCCCACCGAGACTGCCTCGGCCGAAGAAAAAAGCGGCAGTTTTCAAGTGCGCCGAATGCAGCAAGCAGTTCCCGGCCGATGGTTTGCTGCGTATTCACGTGCGCATATACCACGGAGGCCCGCTTCAGTGCAAGCACTGCTCGTCCAAGTTTCGCAGCGAGCAAGAGCTGGACAAGCACATGCAAAGCGACCACTTGGACCGGGCGCCGCTCCGTTGCTCGTACTGCGCGTATGCCTTTTTCAGCGCCGACATGCTGGCGCTGCACGAGCTCAAATGTCCCGTCGCTAGGCAAAAGAAACAGACGGTCGCTTGCCAGCTGTGCGATTTCACGACGTCCGAGGCAAGCAGTCTGTGCCAGCATATCCAGGAGTCGCACACCGAAAAGGTGATCTACACGTGCGAGCCTTGCGGCCACCTGTCACTCGACTTCGGAGTACACCAAGAGCACCTCAAGAGCCACGGTCCTGACGGGAAGGCTGCTGCACCGTCTAGTCCCTCTCCAGCGTCTCATGCTGGGGAGCCCGTGCAGTGTCCACTGTGCAAGAAGGAGTTCAAGAACTGCCGCACTCTAAAGGAACACATAAAGCGTCACCCAAGGTCTGTGAGGCACGTTTGTGAACTCTGTGGTGAGGGTATCACGACAAATGTGGCACTGATCAAGCACCTCAACCGGCACAACAAGGAGACTGCACGCAAGTATCGCTGCCTCTTTTGTAGCAAGTGCTTCCAGACGACCTTCAGTGTGAGTCGCCACATGAAGAACATTCACCTGTTTGACCATGAGCACGGTTGCGAGCTCTGCCCGCACAAATTTGCCACGGTCAAGGAGAAAGCGGACCACATGGCCAAGGCCCACGTCGTGGCCATGCCGAAGGGCAAGCGCGTGCACAAGTGCACTGACTGCGATTTCGAGTCTGAAAGCATGGGTCGATTCGAGAGGCACAGAGCATCCCACACGGGCGTTTACCCCTACGAGTGCACCGAGTGCCCGAGGCGTTTTGCAGCCAAGGAGGAGCTCAGCCGACATGTGCACATCATTCACCCAAAAGGCCAGCAAAACTGTCCAAACTGCCCAAGGCTTTTCCAGGCAGGATGCTTTTGTGTGATAAATTGGCAGTGTTGCTCTCTGAGCGCATTTTGCTGTTGTAATTATGGCGATTTTTTTTTCTTTGGTCTTGCTGGAAACACATATTCCTAAAGTAATGCCTTAGTCGAGGGAGAGTGGCACAGGCGACAGCTGTCAGCTCATGATATATTGTCATGTGTTTGTTATCTGCGAAAAGCATCATTTTTGCTAGTAGAGTTGCATGGAGCAGAAATGTAACTGTGCTATAGCTATGTCCACAAGTATTTCCACAATGGAACTTGTAGCAGTTAGAGCCAGTCAAGTCACATCATTATTTCGCATTGCCGCAAGAACAGTAATGACAGTGCCCAAACACAAGCTGTTTATTGTGGTTCTGTTGAAGTTTATTTGTTATAGATGCAGGTAAATACATTTTAGTATCAGATAGAGCCCAATTTTGTAGTTGCTATGTAAGAGTACTAGTGTTGCACTTGGGAATTATTCATATGCGAAAGTAATGAGCTACAGGTTACCTAATCAGTACTGTGGAGGTGCCCTTTTGTGCCCACATTGGGATTCTACAATAATTGGTTTTGTCATGTCGGTTGAGAAGGTAACTGGTTACTGGTAACATTCCGTAACAACTGGTTAGAAGTGAGGGAACATAGCTTCAAGGAGCTATGAACATGTACTTTTGAAGCTGTAGAAGCTCTTCTACATGCTTCTCTTACAAAAGAGGGCAACATTTAGCGAGCATGTTGATACCAAAGGTGGTCTTGAAAAGCTACACTTGGCGTTGCCAGCATTATTGGTGTATCGTGGCACAAGGTAAAATGTGGTGGCTTCATCTAGTGATATTGTCACGGAGGCGAGATCAAGGTTTATTCAAACAGCTGATCGTCAGCCAGACGATATGGTGGATGAGTTCCTTGCGCCAGCTCTATGTTTTCTTGTCATCTTCATCTTCGGTGACCACCACCTTGGTTCACGTCTATATTGCACCGTAACATCACCCTCCCGCGGTGGAAGCGCTTTCTAAGGCGATGAAGAGCTAGCAAGGCAACATGGTATCAGTCTAGAAACGTGTGCGATGTCTGTCTGGGTTACGTGATCGAAGAAGCTGAGTCCACAGGTGCGATCTCGTAATTGACGTTGCTAAGTTAGCGGAGCACTCTGCAGGGGCTGTTGTAACGGGAGAGAAGCTTCTCGGATAAGCCGACTTGATGGCAGGGTACACAAAGGAGTACCAGAGATCCCGATGTGAAGTGGACGCTTCGATGTCGACTATTGTAACGATTTTTTTGCTGTGCTTGCGACAAAGATAGTCAGTCATGGGCGACTTGTTGAGCTCTATGTGCTCGAACAATGACGTCGCTGGCGTATGTAGTAGACAAGGGTCTGGTTGAAGGAAGGAGCATCTCAAATGGTAACACTGGATGCCGACCAAATAGCAAATAGAATGATGAATAACCCGCTGTATCATCTAGTGAAGATTTATAAGCAAGTGGTACAAATAGCAGTGCACTGTCCCAATCACGGTGATCAGACGAAACGTACATTGACAGCATCTGAGTAAGCGTTCAATTGAGACGTTCAGTGTAACCATTCGTCTGGGGATGATAAGCTGCGGTAAGCTTGTGCTGAGTGGAGCAGGTACGGAGAATGTCGTCGACGATAGATGAAAGAAAGTACTTTCCTCGATCGGTAAGCAGCTGTCGAGGAGCGCCATAATGTAGAATGACATCGTACAAGAGAAAGTCAGTGATGTCGTGGCACAACTCGTCGGCAGTGCTCAAGTGATGGCAAAGCATGTACTATAATCTGTGGCGACAGCAACCCATTTATTACCCTTGGTGGACGTAGAAAAAGAGCCTAGCAGGTCAAGTCCAACACAGAAGAATGGCTCCATGGGTATGTCGATGGGGTGTAAGTGGCCAGAAGGCAGTACCGAGGGGCACTTTCGTCATTGGCAGTGGTCACATGAAGCGACGTAACGATCCACAGTACGGTACATGTCGGGTCAGAAAAAGCAACGTCGCACTCGATCGTATGTACGAGAGGCACCAAGCTGACTGGCATTTGGTACATCATGAAGTTATTCCAGGACACTGTTGTGTAGATGGCGGGGTAGCACAAAAAGTAGTTCCGGGCCATCAGCATTGAAGATGCGACGATACAGGATGTTGTCATGCAGCTCCAACAGACTGGTCGGGTGACAGGGACGTTAGATGGTCGATAATAGCCACTAATGATGGGTCCTGTTGCTGTTCACTGGCGATGTCAAGCAAAGCGCGAATGGACAGCACGCAGGGGTCCGAGTCAAGGTCTTGTAGTTTGTGCTCTTCAACTGGATAACGTGACAAACAGTCTGTGTCTGTGTGAAGTCGCCCCGACTTGTATTGTACCTCAAACGAATATTCCTTAAGACGTAGTACCCAGCGACTGAAACGTCCAGACGGGTCCTTTAGTGATGAGAGCCAGCGGAGAGCGTGATTGTCCGTGACTATGGAAAACGTTCAGCCATATAGGTAGGGCCTGAATTTGGTCACAGCCCACACTGGCACTAGGAATTCACGCTCAGTAATGGAGAATATCTGCTCGGCGGGCGAAAGAAGACGACTAGCATAAGCAATTACTGGATCCTTGCCGTGCTGTCTTTGACCGAGAACCGCCCCAATTCCGTGGCCACTAGCATTGGTCCGAAGCTCTGTATGCGAAGCAGGGTCTAAATGGGCCAGTATTGGCGGCATAGTCATCAGATGGATAAGGGTAGAAAAAGAGTCAGCTTGCTCGGCACTTTTTTCAGGAGATCAGGAGCATTTTTTTTTTTTCAGGAGATCAGTAAGAGTCCAGGCAATGTGAGCAAAGTTGCGGATGAAGCGACGAAAATAGGAACATAATTCTACAAAACTGCGGATGTCTTTGGTTGAGCACGGTAGAGGGAATTCTCACACGGCCCACACCTTATCTGGGTCCGGTTGAATGCCGGCAGCACTTACAAGGTGACCGAGTATAGTGATTTCGGGCCGTCCAAAACAGCACTTTGCCGAATTCAGTCGAAGAGTGGCTCTGCGAAAGACATCCAAAACGGCAGACAGGCGTATGAGATGGCTCTCAATTGAGGGGAATAGAGGATGACATCGTATAGGTAACTTAAACAGATGGACCACTTATATCCACGGAGCAGGGAGTCCATCATGCATTCGAAAGTTACCAGGGCATTCCAAAGCTCAAACGGCATGACCTTGAATTGTTAGAGACCATCGGGCATCACAAAGGCAGTTTTTTCGCAGTCCATGGCGTAGACTGAAATTTGCCAATAACAGGACCGAAGGTCGATCGATGAAAAGTATTGTTTACCATGAAGGCAGTCGAGAGCGTCATCGATCCGTGGCAAAGGGTAGACGTCTTTATAAGTTACATTAAGTGGCGATAGTCAACACAAAAGCACCAGCTTCCATCCTTTTTATTTTCACGAGCACGACGGGGGAGGCCCACTATCTGGACGACAGCTCTATAACGTCCTTAGTTTTCATTTTGTCAACTTCGCGCTGAATTACTTGGTGTTCCTGATGAGATACGCCTTATAGATGCCGGCGTATAGAAGTGGCGCCACCAGTGTTGATCCAGACAGATGTTTGACCCAGAGGGCAGTCGTCGAAGTCAAAAATGTCGCTATAATAGACAAGTAGATGATAGATTTGTAGCTTGCGCCGGGGCTAAATCGGGAGCGATCATTTTCGCGATGGCTTCAGGAGGCAGAGTAGAACTAGCATCATGACATGGAGACGAAACATCGGCATCCAAAGCGGCAATCACGCATTTGTCTAGCGAAGAGATGGTGGCCAATGACATGTCTTGAGAAATCACTTGAGTTAATATACTGTCATTGAGAAGTGGAATGACCACTGTATTACAGACCACGGAAACAATGGTCTGAGCAAGGGCGACGTCTCGCGCCATCAGTACGTCGACAATAGGAGGCACGAGGTAGTCACCGTCAGGCATATCACGTGAACAAGACAATGACGTAGGTAGTAGCTTGCGGTGGTAAGCGGGCATGATGATGATAGTGCAAGCGGGCAGGCAGGTCGGTCGTAAAATCGGCAAGCTGCGGCAACTCAAGCTGAAGAGCGTCTGTTGCACAATCAATCAGTGCGGAGTGACTGGACAGAAAATCCAAGCCAAGGATTAGGTTGTGGGGACACTGGTCAATGACGGCGAATTGAACCGAGGTAGAATGACCGGTTATACAAATACGGGCAGTGCACATTCCGTGAACGACAGCAGATCTTCCATCGGCGACTTGGAGTGTGCGGAAGCGGCAGGTGGGAGGACCTTATGCAGGCGGTGGCGAAGGTTTGCGCTTATTACTGAAATGTGTGCTCCTGTGTCAATAAGCGCGTAAATATGTACACCATCAACATCAATGTCCAGCAAACTTCGTCTTGTCAAAAGCGGATTTGAGGAAGTCTACAATGCAGCGTCACCTCCGGGCGCTGCACTGTTTAGTTTTCCAGGTAGGAAGAAGCAGGGTTGAATGGGGAGGACGGCAGGTGAGTCTGCGGTGAGCGAAACGACTGGCGTTGACCCGGAGGCAAGCGTGACTGATGACCACGGGGCGGCGGGGGAGCGGCTGTTTAACCTTGTGCATACGTTGGGGGAAGAGAAGTGGGTCGGCGGAGAAAAGTGGGTGTCACCCTGTCGGCGGTATGGCGCAGACAACATCCGAGGGGGCGAGGACCAGCTGGCATTGCAGTAAAGGACTACATGGCCAATACGATGGCAGTGAAAAGAAATCGGCCGGTTGTCGGCAGTCCTCCAAGCTGCGGGATCGCGAGAGCGGGCAGCAGTGAAGCGCTTCTTGGGACAGGACGAGGCTGAACGCCATGAGGTTGGCTGTGGACTGGTCATAGCGCACACCGAATAGATGCCGATGCTGGCGAGTTCCTGACAAACGATGGCCTGAACCATGGGAGCAGCAACTGGTGCCGTATCAGCTGTACCGGCGTAAGCTGGAGCAGGAGCAATGGCTTCAATCACGCGCCTTACGGTTCTAGTCACCTGGTCTGGCGAAACAGCTGTCGGTGTGCATTCTCACGCGACCTTCGCACGACGGCGTTGCAGCCTCGTTGGGAAGCCGGGCAAATGCGTCGCCGATGTGCCGGCTCTTTGCTTGCTCAAAGCGCCTGCACTCTTATAATGGCGTCCATGGTTGAGTGATTCTTACATATTAGGAGACTGAAGGCGCTGTTGGCAATCCCTTTAAGAATATGCCCAACTTTGTGGGCCTCTGGCATCTCGGCATTGACTTTCCGACACACAGAAATCACATCTTCGATGTACTAGATGTACGATTCTGTGGACGTTTGTGCCCGAGACGCGAGCATTTTGTTTGTAGCCATCTGTCGTCCGACGGGCTTCCCGAACAAGTCCAACATTTTCTGCCGGTACGTTTCCCAGCTCCCAAGTTCTGCTTCATGGTTTTCATACCACACTTCGGCGGTTCTCTTAAGGTAGAACAACTGATTCACCAGCATAAGAGTCGGACCTCAACGGCATCGAGTACTCACACGTTCGTACTCTGCCAGCCAATCCTCAACGTCCACTTCATCTGGATCTGCGGAACCGCTAAACGTGCCAGGATCTCGTGGGGGTTCAAGTACGAAGGTTGTAGTCGCCGGAGCAGATGTAGTCACCACATCATCTCTAGCCACTGGAGCACCGAGAGCAGATGCAGACACCACATTTTCCGTCACAGTTGCAGAGTTACCCCTCAAACGACAGCCGCTGCAAAGTTCCATTGCGAGGCGGTTACTCAGCACCTCCACCAAGTCTGACGGAGGCGAGATCGAGGTTTATTCAAACAGCTGATCATAACACAGACGATATGGCGGATGAGTACCACGCGCCAGCTCTACGTTTTCTGGTCGTCTTCGTCTTCGGCAACCACCACCCTGGTTCATGTCTATGTTGCACCGTAACAATGTGGCTAGATCTGATTAAGTTTCTGATAGCGTAAGTGCATGAGCATTTTTTCTGGCTTTGCACAATTGTATGGGGATGCCACTATGGTTGTGAAAACAAGACGAACAGGAGTACGGAAGCGTCGTAATGAATCACCAACCTGGTTGTGAAAACTGGCTCACACGAACAGGAATGATAGTAATATATTTAGTGCACTGTAACGTTTCCTAAGTCACTTAAGAAAGTTTTGGCTTTCATTTAGCCTGATGAATATACAAGAAGTTTCAAATGCCCCATATTAGTATTTAGCAGAACTTCACTTTCACTAAGTTTGTGTTGGGTCAGAAGTACATGAATGCCACTAAGGCAGTCTCGGCAGTTGCAGCTCTGATGCTTGTGTAGATGCTTGAATTTTGTTTGATTTGCATTTAGCATTGTTTTTATTTTACAAAGTTATGTTCAGGCGGGCAAAAGTGGCTGTACATTTCGGTACGTAATAGTTTTTTTAGGTGACCCGTATGTGGACAGCTTAGGTCTTGCTGGAAGCACAGAGCAACTTTAAACTGGTGACAGGCAGCGTGCGTGTGCACGAGCCATTTCAAATATGTAGGGAGGTAGTTTCTAGCTAAATTCAGGAGGTAGGATAAATGCACTGCATTTTATTGTATTTGTAGCCACTGCTGCGGTCATATTGCCGATCTGACACTACGCTCTTGGTCATTTTGTCGGGCCTACTGCACTACCCATCACTTGCAGCTTCATTCAGCCTCAACCCTTACAAATAACGCGCGAATGCGAGCTAGCCAGGAGAATGTGAAGAGCTTATGAGACGACGTTTTGGCCGTGTCATTGCTTGCACAGTATCCACATCTAAGTGGCAAAATACTTACAAGTCTCTACACGAAATTTGCAAGGTGCGAACCAGACTCTCGGTAGCAATGGCATCCGTAAATTATGAAGCACCCATGGGGTGTGAAATGAGTGTGGCCTTTTTTTCATGAGAGGCAGGTTTCAGAAGAGTAAAGGCAACATGCATTATATATGTAAGAAGCACTAGCGAAAACATTTATGTCTGTGTAGGTTTGCGCGCAGGCTTGGCAAAATGGTTGTGAAACACCACGGACCATGGTACATGACTTCTGCTTTTATCCTACATGGAGTGTGCAATGATGCCACTGCAGTTGGGCCAGAAAGTTGAATAGAGAGAGTAGAAATAAGAGAGCAGAGTTTGTCGCGTCACCATGACGCAGCAGCCGAGGCAAAGTGGGACTGTGTCCGCCTTACTTGTTATGCTCGATTCGGGAAGACATGGTAATGGACAATTCAATTTCTTCTAATGTGAATAGCAGTGAAGCTGCTTCAAAATTTCTTTTTGGTAAAATGCACTCCTGATGTCGCCTTACAACTTTGAAATGATTAACCGAAAATTTGAAATGGATCCTGGTAAGGTGCACCAAGATTCTTCAACATGACTAGATTAGTGTTATGTAGCTCCAAGCCAAGTAGGAATAAACAGGCTCGTTTATAAGCATGCTGCCCAGTTTTACATTTCCATCAGCATTTTAGAAAGGCGATTGCATGGCCGGGTCGTGTTCTTGCGACTCCCGGCTCGCTTGGCTTTCAAAAATTTATTTTTGCCCAATGCTTTTAGGAAACCAGAAAGAGCAGGCATTGTTAAAAAGGTGAATGCTAGTCTTTTGAGACATTGCTTCGAGGAGTACATTAATGCTAAATCTTAATTCCATCTTAATTCTGTTTTTGTTGTGTTGAAAGCTTGGATCGGAGCCTCCATTTGGCTTCCAAGCCACCTTGTCACTGCAGTTCATTCAAGCAGTTGCAATGCACATGTGAAATTACACAAGAATGTGCTCAACATCACTGGTTGCAGCACTGCAGATTTCTTGGCTTTCCAGAAAATTGCTATCTTGTCGATCTTGTCAAGGCAGTGAAAAAAAAGTTGCCTGTGCTGAAAGGGCCCCTGTGAACGTACCCCCCCCCCCCCTCCGCAAAGATCTCTGTTGATGCCTTTGCTCTCCATCACTTAGTTGGGAAAACGCTTCTTTGTAATATGAAGCCACAAGGAAACCTTTGCAGTTTTCTCAGAAAGGAATCTTCTTTGTTGCTGAAAAATTGGTTTTTTGGTACGGAGATCAAACCCAGGGCCAACACCTTTTTAAGGGGGTCTCTTTACGGATTGAGCTAACCAGGAAGCTAGCAAATGACGCCACGAGAGGGAATTCATTGATAACTCGAAGCACATGGACACGTTATTGCAACTCTCGGCGATTGTGCTCAACTAAAAAAAAAAAATCTGGGAGGGAATTTGGTATTCAAAGCTTACTTTTAACGTTGTGTGACTCAATCATAGTTACTTTTTTTTGTTTTTTGACAGGACCAGCTGGAGTTCGAAAATCACCTGGCTCTGCATCACAGTGGCCAGTCGCACCCGTGCGAACAGTGCGGCCACCACTTTGAGAGCGCAGAAGCACTCCGTGAGCACCACGACAAGCAGCATGACCTGAACCTTCCTTACGAGTGCCGCCTCTGCCACCAGCGTTTCTGCAATATCGGCCAGCGGGTGTCACATGTCCGCAAGTGAGCAGCCCACAACGTTTACGCATTCTCATGCTCGACTAGCAAGCGGTTGAAGCTCTTCGCGAGAAAGCCGGAAAAGACGAGAAAAACTCTTTTGTCATGACGACTTTTAAAGGGGCCCTGCAAAATTTGTTCAGTTTAATCAAAAAAACACTGCTGATCAATAGTCGAGGCACCTGAGAACATGAGCCGAACTTTATAGTGCAGCACAGAGCCCGGAATTCACAATTCGTTCTCAAAGTTGGCCAGAAATTATGCGCTTTTCTCTCAGCAAATGATGCCGTAAACCAAAATTACCACACCATAATCCCAAAGTTTGCATCCATTGGCTGATCTGAGGATTGCGAGCTGCGAAGTTATCGTGGCCGCCGTGGGATAATGCCGCGTGCCCATGTGCACATTCGTGATCGCGCTGAAGGTGAGTGTCATGATATGAGCTGACGAAAGGACCCACCTTTTGCCACTTTGTCACCATCCCCCTGCGTAGCTTTCAGGGCCGCTCGCTGGTAGGAAAAAAAGAGAGAATTAAGGTAAATGCACAAGGATACATGCACCGCATTAGGACATTCTCAAAATTACATTCCCTATAGTAACGTCTCACAGTTCGAAAAAAGAACTGTGAGACGTTACTATAGGGAATGGCACGAGTGGTTCAAAAATTCCATTTTCACGTGGTTACACTGGACAGGTCGTGCCATCTAGCAAGGCACAGTTGAACCAAAACATGTCTGCCACCTCGCAGCCAATGGCAAGAAGTTTATCAATGGGTGTTGTTGCTGCTCTGGCTCCCACTGCTTTTGTTCTCTCTACTAGTGTCGGTGACCGTGCAGTAAAGCTGGGCAACGTTATGCACAGCAACAGTGACATCAGTCGATCTGCTTCTTGAAGTGGGTAATTTAAAGTGTGCCAACTTGATGCGGGCCACTAAAACGTTACTTTATTTCAAAATAAGCCCTTCCTTGGCACAAAAGTAACACTGCGAGGTTTCTGGACTGCTATTTCAACGATCGACATTGACTTAATAGTTGCCTTTAGTGTCCCTTTGATGCCACTGTGTTGGTAACCATAGAATTCTTCTTGATTCTTGGCTACTTCGGCCAAAATTATTGACACTGTATACATTGCACTTAGTTGGGACTGTGTGTACTTTGTCAGGGCTATAGGGCAGGTGATTGGCTGATGTACCCTCCTACTGTGTACAGTAACAACAATTAGAACTTGCAGTACTGCAGAAGTCAACAGCTTGTGACCAGTGCGAGATCAAATGGCAGCCTTGGCTGTTCTTTTTGTCTCATGTAGACAGTTGTCCGGCACCCTGTTTTGCCCAGTGTGAAGCCTGTTTTGCAGTATTGCCTTTATTTAAATACAGATGAATTCCTTTATGAGAGGCACTGATGTAACAGACAGATGGATAAAATAGACACCAGTGTGCCTACATTGAAGTAGGTGTTGATAAGGAAATGCATACGTGGTACCCTGCTTATAAGAGACACCTCATTTGAAAGACTGAAGTTTCTCATGTTTCATAAAGGGATCATCTGTACAACTTGGATGATTCGAATGGCATTACAGCATTGCTACTTGTCCCATAAACTGAAGTTTTCGGCACTGAAAACCTCCACCACATCATTTATCTTATCGCAGGTAGCGATTCTGAAACACTTACAGTAGTTGCAGCCCTCATTAATGCGACGTTGATTGTCTTGGAGCCTCAAACCATCGAGAGGCAGCTTTCCCGTATTTCAGAGGTTTTCATCGAACAAGAATGCACAATGTTTTGCATTGCTGTTTTCCCAAGAATGGAAAGGGACCACTGTCTACCATCACAGATCGACCACAGACATGTTTAATAAGTGTTCTGCCAGGCTTGCAGAGCTATTTATTATATGGCGGTGGAAGTTCGAACCTCTGAATGGTCAGGCATGAATTAACTTCTTGAGATAGTATAATTAACTTCCAGAAAATTGGCAAAATAGTTCTCGACTGAATCTTTTTCTTCCTGATGTAGTAGCTCATACTTGAAAAGGCAGGGAAGCATATCATTTTATTTGCTAGACAGTTACAGTATCGCCTCACATTTCTAGTGTGCAAGGCTCACTTATGACAAAAAAGCTGCCTCAATAACTAGGCAGGGATGTTTGGCTTTAGTGTTCCATAGGCAATGGTTGATTCTGTAAGTGCCTAATTAATAAAGAAGGCATCAGTGCACGTAACAAATTACGACTTACTTCGCTTCCTAATCCTGTGCGCAGTGCCTTTCCTAGTTTCTCTTGATCTGGAATGTTCTTGCAGGTATCACCCACGTGTGCTGCTCAAGTCTCATGTGTGCGACATATGTGGATCAGCTTTCCGCTACCAAAGCGGCCTGGCAGTGCACAAGCTCGACAAGCACACTGGACGCACAGAGGGGCGTCTCTTTGAATGTGAATACTGCGGGAAGGTGCGTTGCAATACTGGCTCCTAAATATGTGGTGCGCTCGCACACCATTGGAGGGCATAATTAACCATTACTCACTTATATATTTCTTTCACTGATATTTATTGTCAAGTTGCACACTCACCTACAGACACGTGCACTGCCCTCCTCAGCGCTCGCTCACATTCCTATACATGCCCCCTTATACTGACTGACTAGCAGTTACAATCAAGTCACATCTCTCCAGATTTACTGGCAAAAGTCAACGGTTTAATACAGTCGAACCCCGCTACAACGAACGTCGCTTCAACAAAATTTCCGCTACGATGAAAAATTCAGTTTCCTGTCAGCAGTTCATAGAAGTCAATGCATAAATATTGTCGCCACAATGAACACTTTTTCTTCTGCCACCCCACTTCAACAAAATTTCACGATGCAATTCCAGGCACAGATATTTATTCCTATACAGGATACCCAATTTTTAAGACTGATGCATTTTGAGAACCTGAAAATACGTCGATGGAGTGTAAACACGCGTTGCCACCACCAGTAATCGTCGCTGTTCAGCAAGTATGGGCGCCGCCGTTGCTTGATAGCAATGACAATGGGACTACTCTGCTCATAAAGGATGGTCCTGCTTTTGCCACTGGCTTGTTTTCGAGCCGCAGACGATCCAAAGCTTAAGCTCAGTCGCTCAGTTCATGGTTTTCTTCACGCAGCTGCAGCGTGCAACTGCAAAGTGATGCCTTTTCAGATTCCAATGCTTATCATTTTATTTGCGCTTGGCCAGTGTGGTACCTAATCAGAGCGGCTGTGCATCAGCATTATCAACCAAATCAGCCAGCCGCGAGATTTCGATGATAAGAATGGCATAGAATAAGGCAAAAGTCACCTCTTCACGATACCATGCCTCCATCTTGTGGGGTCTCCAATTGGCGAGCAAGCGCCACACCACGCTCTTGGAGTGAAAGGACACCGTTGACACGGTCGGTATAGCAAAACACATACATACACTTATTTAACTACTTTTGAACGACGATATCGTCCGCCGAATCGGTACATCAATCGTTATCAACACGCTAAGTCATCCTTACACAAAATTACCAAACACTCAAACAACATGACAAACACAATAACACGCCCAAGGCGGCGGCGCCAATGCTTGACTTACTACGTGGGCCCCTTGGCGCGCAGGCCCGTGGTGCCACGCGCCAAGGATCCACGCTAGAGACAACCGTTCGCGGCAGCCGCCACACGTAGAAGAGGCTCGCTCAACTCTCGCCCGCCACCAAGGCTCGCTTCCGCCAGGGGTCACTGCCGGCGCTACCCCATGATGATGATGACGATAGTGGTGCTCAACCCAAATACAACGCCATCTATCGCCTGGCGGTTGTCACCCGAAATGCGGCTTTGGGTCGCGACACGTGCGCCACACCGCGCAAACAACTTTACAAGGGGTGTCAGCACCCCCACATTCTCCCAACCTTAAATCAAACCATATCCCGAAAACAAAAAGATACACTACACAAGCTTTAACAAAAAAAAATTACATCACATGTCCATAATGTCCTTGCACCATGACACCGCCGCCAGTTGACACTGCTGCACTGTCCGGCGCGACGAACCGTCGCTAGCGCCGACACGTCTTCCAGTTGCGGCCAGCACTCACGAGGGCGCCGGACTGCAGGTAGTTGCGCAGGTCTCAGGCGTCTCCATCGCCCGACCTCAGGACCGCATTCCTGGCCAGCGGCGCTGACGATGTGCAGAAGACAGCCGGCCGAGGATGACATCCCTCTCGCTGAATACATAAAAAAAAACTCGAAAGAAACAATGCAGCAGGGCCTAGGGAAAGGAGCTTCGGGCATTTCGGCCACGTAGTACGATGGTCAGTACTGCAGCTAATACATCGGCGGCGGCCGAGACGCCCATCAAAAATAAAGGTCACTTTTCCTAATTCGTGCATCGCATGATAAAAAAAAAAAGTGAGGGAAGCAGAGCGCAACACCTCAACGCCACGATCCACCTAGTTGTGCCACGTGCGACAGGCGGCTGCGCAGGGCCTTAGGCCTAATGAGTCGCTCGACAACAACTGGCATCCACCCAGCACCCAGCCTAGGCGCAGAAGAGGCAGCCTTGAGGAGACATCCACTCTGTGAGGTGGCCCTATCGCTCGCCGCACACAGCCAGCAGCTTACCGAGCGATCGGCGTCCACCGTCCCGGACGGTGTTATACGATGCCTCAGCGTCGAGCCGCAATACCAGAGAGCAACGACACCCGGCTCCCTGAGCCCGAAGAGATAGAAGAAGCTATTTACAGAAAATCGGACGACCAACGAGGCTTCCGTACTCACTCTTTTCGGGCCTAGCCTACAAACCACGTGCTCTAGGCCTTGCTCACCCCAGGATGCAGACCGCTTAGCTCTCGTCCCAATTCAACAACAGTTTTGAAAACTAGCACTAACAAAAAGAACAACAATTGCGAGCAAAAAAAAATAAAAACTCAACCTGCCGACAAATTCAAACCGATCTCCTCACTTCTCAACAGAGCACACCGCCGACGCTAGCAAAGAAGTCCCCCTAGGCCTACTCTACCCCGGCTCTAACAAAAGCTTGTACCGAACCGCAAAAACCATCGTCCGACACTCCTAGAGCCCCACGTTGGGCGCCAGTGTGGGGTCTCGAATTGACAAGCGAGCGCCACGCCACGCTCTTGGAGTGAAAGGACACTGTTGACACGGTCGGTACAGCAAAACACATAAATACATTTATTTAACTACTATTGAACGACGATATCGTCCGCCGAATCGGTACATCAATCGTTATCCACACGCTAAGTCATCATTACACAAAATTACCAAACACTCAAACAACTTGACAAACACAATAACACGCCCAAGGCGGCGTCGCCAACGCTTGACTTACCACATGGGCCCCCCGGCGTGCAGGCCCGCAGTGCCACACGCTGAGGACCCACGCTAAAGAAAACCGCTCACGGCAGCCGCCACGCGCAGAGAAAACTCGCTCAACTCTCGCCCACCACCAAGGCTCACTTCCGCCAGGGGTCACTGCCGGCGCTACCCCATGATGATGATGGCGATAGTGGGGCTCAACGCGAATACAACGCCATCTATCGCCCGGCGGTCGTCACCTGAAATGCGGCTTTGGGTCGCAACATGTGCGCCACACGGCGCAAACAACTTTACTGGGGGTATCAGCACCCCCACAATCTTGTCGTTGTCGCATACACTTTGATGGCGGATGTCTCCTGGTGTTAACGTATTAATGAAACTGTTTGGTACGTTTACGAATGCGGTTATAGGCGTTATTTCAGCGGTTTTCACCATGGCCTCGCTATGCATGACTGTGAATCAGGCCGTAATGCTGCTAGAAAAAAATAGGAAGTAGCGGACACTTTTTTAATTTTAAGAAAAAACGTTCCTTGTTTTAGCTTGCTCAGATCAGCTGTAATTTTTTTATTTCACTACAGCGAAATTCTCGCTTCAATGAAGTATTTTCCGCGCCCCGTGAGTTTTGTTGTAGTGGGGTTCGACTGTATTTTGGCTGGAATTGTTACAGCCCTGCTGAGCAAGATGTGGTAGTTAAATAATCATTTCTTGATTACCACTTGGTGTGGTTTTTCTCCAGTGCTTTGTTGTTTACGTCACTGCCACAGGATTCTGTATTGTATTAAGAAATTTTTCAAAAAAGAAAAATGCGAACATGTACCAAGAGTTAGAAACCAACTCACTTATGACCACCTAGCCAAGAGTTCACATACACGAAGTGTGCCTGGCATGTCCCAGTTGCACACAGGTGTGGTAGTGTTCTGCTGGAACATTAATCTATTGCTGTATGCGCCATACATGCTTCTTTAGGTTGCACAGGAGCACAATAATATTGTCAATGAGGTTCCGGATCTTTGTCTGGCACTGGAGTTTTGTCAGTTTTCTGCAGTTCATGCAAAATATCTTATATTCTCAAGATGGGGTTTCTCAAGCCATGTTCAGTGGAATGCAGGTGTCCCATAAGTGGCGTATTAGAGCGGTGCTCTGTTAGCAGTCGGAATGAATCCGGCGCTCTGTTTACCCATTCAATGGGGTGATCATGAGATCTTACCAAGGCATAAGTGGATAGATAGACAGATAGATAGATTTTTAGAGAGACAGACAAACAGATAGACAAATAGATAGATGCTCAAAGTGCTTACAGCATGCAAAGAAATGCTTTGCATATTAAAAGTTGGTAACTTTTATGGGCAAAATAATAACCTAATGAAAGCCATGTGACTTCAACAGTCAGTAACAAGCAGGAACAAAGCAAGCTCTGAAAGCATTCTTGTGGACTTTGGCAAAGATCTTTCAGTAAGCTCACATGTAAAACCACATACTACTTGTAACTGGCCACCTAAACTGCATGGAACCTTTACTGTGCACCATGAAATGGGCATGTGTTTCATTGTGCATTACGCTAAATTTCCCTGTCTAAAATGCCAGCTATTCATTTTGAATCTCGTGTGAAACATTTGCTATTCATAAGCACAAATATTTTTGTAATAGTTTAAGAGTATTTCGAAAGGCCAACTAAAATAAAATAAATGCAGAATTATTGAAAAAGTGTGATAAATATAATACCTGGGGACAGATGTTGTATAGTTAACTAGGCCGTGTCACTCTGAGAGACCATTGGCTACGCAACGATTGTTTGAGCTCTATTGAAAAGTTCTGTGCATTCGAGAAACGTTTATTTCTGATACATTCAGGCTTTTAACGCTAAGATTATGCATACAAAAATGTGAGTGTCATCGTTTTAGTGTAAATTATAAAACAGGCTTTTAAGTGTTCGGGAATTACTTGAAAAGTATTCACTTCAGTTTACTTCAGAAAGTATATTCAATATTCTATTGATTGTGCCTCAAAAGGTGTTATTTGTACTCCTTTCTGCATCTTCAAGTTGATCACATTTGAGCTTGCTCAATGTAACTTGCAGGTATTCGGACGGAGCAATGTGCTGGCCATGCACCTGCGCCTACACACTGGGGAGCGGCCGTATCTGTGCCAGCACTGTGGAATGACCTTCCGAAACCCCACCAACCTCAAGTATCACACCGTCAACATGCACACCAAAAACTACGCAGTCTTTTGCCCCATCTGCTCCCGTGGGTTTGTTGTGCGACGAAAGCTGGCCAAGCACCTCATGCAGGTCTGTACGCACGCCACTGTTGCACACATGCATCACCTTTGGGCTGCACTTCAACTTGGTACCTTGCTTTATTGGGTATTTGCAAAAGTTTCAATCGCTTGACACCTTTCAGGCCAAGATGAGATGCTGCAGGTTGGTGAACAAATATGGCTGTTTTGTTGGAAATTAGTGCAAACCCTTTGTATAATGAATCAGTCGGAATAATTGATAGTTTGCTTTGTTGTATTACTGAAGTTTATTTTGTTATGGTTGCTTAAGGATCCCTTTTGCTACATGAAAGGTGCCACAAGAAATAAGGCTACACAAAAAGACAATTTCAATAACAAAGATTTCGGCCAGTTTCACGCCGTGCAATACTTTCGGACAGTGAAGTTGTAAGTGCGCAAGTGTGTGCGATTGGCTAAGAAGGTCACGTTGCTTTGTAAATATGCTGCTGGATATCAAATATGTGCTCTTACACTTGATTGGGCATAGCAAGGTCGCGTGACCTACAGACTCAAGTGATAGCATTGCACCAGATGTGTCGTACACAGGATTTGCTGGAGGCACAGCCGGAGCCCTGCCATGTGTGTATTCGCTGTTATCTACATGGACACCCATACACACCCAGATGCCTTGCCTTAATTGATCATAATAATTGTACATCTCCAATGACTAAAATCCCAAGCAAGTTCTGCCAGAGAAAAACCCCCCTCCCCCTGCTTTTTTGGAAGATTTGAAATATGCACCAATAACCGAACAAATACCTTCTTTCTTTGCACCATTTTCACTATTCACTATTCCATTCACTGTTCTTATTCTCCCGAGCAGCATGAAGAAAAACTGTGAATATATGCATATTCAATGAAGCATTTCATTAGAAATGCTGGTGTGCATTCTTTATTCTTAGTGGCTCTTGCATTGCCACCTTGAATTTTCATCCAAGGCCAAGCCCCCCCCTCCGAATCTTGTAGAATTATCTTTCACTTCAGGGGGACCACTTGCTTGGGATTTAGTTGTAATGTAATTAATGAAAATCTATATCATAATTTGTACTGAAGCTCATCATCACCATTTAGCTTTAAATATTTATTTATTCACTTTCCTCTCTTGTCTCGTGACTTGCGTAACGCCTACTACTACCAGTACTACAACTACTACTCGTAATGCTTTAACGGCAGCAGGGCAGGGTACACTGAGAAAACTTCACTGTAAAAGAAATGTGGGCAGCTTGCACTAATAGTGCAAGGCTGACCTAGATTAAAAGCAAGGTCTTAATTACCATAGTGTTAATTAATCCAGTCATAATTGCGAATATGTTACTTAAAACAATCAATTATTTTTGTGGCCCTAATTATTACTGCCCTAACTGGCATAGTTATAATTAGCATAGTCATAGTTAGCATAGTTTTAGCAAAGTGCTCTTTCTCTGTTACTGTCTATTTTTATCTATCCATTCTCTTATAATTTTCTGTCTGGTACTTGTCTTTTGAAAGCACACACATGGAAGAAATGCCAACATTGGACATCTATCATGTCAACCTCAATGACGTGCTGGCCACAGGCCTTGTTATCCGCCAAATCCTTGGCAACGCAGAAAAATGTGCTGTAACTACCCTCATTTTTGGAACGTATGTCACCAAAAGCAGCCTGCCTATACCTATAGTTAATCTTAAAATGAAAGAGACAAAAAAAATGCATGCTGGCCAAGCTCTCGCATTGTACGTGCTCAGCACAGCTTTGTTTTTTGGTAATGTGAACCAGCAGAACAAAGAGCTTTAACAGTTCCACTGTTATAACAGTGTTCGAACCTAAGAGCTGGCTGCACTCCTGTTAACCTCTCAGTAAAGGGAACTCATGGTTAAATGAAACACATTTTCTGGTCCCTTCAGCTTCCGTTTGAGTCTACTGTATGGTGTGGCAAATTACAAGAGATGGGCTGCGCATGCTCTCTTCCCACCATCGTGAAGTGTATGCTCGCTTTCAGGTGCAGTGCCAGCTAAGGATCTTGAATACCAAGAGTGACATCAGTTTTGAAGCCGAGGCAAACAGCCGAACATGATGTAACAGCCCTATGTCTCGACATCTTCCAGGTGCACAAAGTGACGGGCATGGTGAACACAACTTCGCGAAAGGGTCGCGCCAAGCCTGTCTACATCGAACACACCACGGTGCCGGTGGTGTCCATGGAGACTGGCGACGATGTGATGCTTAATGTGATGCAGATTGTAGAAACTGCCGATGACGGGGTGACTGCCACGGAAGTCGGCCATGCCGTTGCAGGACTCGGTGGTGCTGTCACTGTGGCTGACGACATGGCGGCCACCGTCACAGAGGAGACTGTGGTGGACGACGTGGTGGAGGAAGCAGTGGAAATGGTGGACATTTCAGACGTCGAGTTCGTCAGTGGTGCGACCGTTGAGTGCTACACCGTTAGTTGACAGGCTGCAGGACCACCTCAACTTGGTCATCGTAGAGAAGCCTTGATGAGCTCATGTAGTTTACATGTCTGTTTGACCTGTCATCTTTCATTAAAACCAACCTTAGTATGTTTCGTGCTCTTAGAAAGGAGACCTTGTGCAGTAGCTATGGACATTTGACGAACTTTTTCGCCTGAATTTTCATCTGACATCTGTTGAAAACTAATCGTGTGAGCGTGCTACATGCTCACAAAGGTTACATGCTCACAAATAAACACAGTCAAATCTCATTAATTCAAACATGCCTAATTGTAACTTCTGGTTGATTCGAGCTCATGCTGAGGTCTCGTCAAAGCTATGTGTATTCCAATGGGCAAAAACACCCTGTAATTCCAATGCGCAAGCACTTGCGACAGTTAATTCAAACATACCACGCTCCGAAAATGCTCTCAGTGCCATGCCAAATTCCGCGGCGGCACCTCTCAACGCTGCGCCCGAAGAAGAAAAAGAAGAAAAGGAAAGAAAAGACTGGCGGATTGTTTGCTCTCTCTCAAATGCCACTCTGCAATGCGTCTGTGCCACGCTTCTCCCTTTTCCATCTCTGCACGTAGAGACCCTTCTCCTTTCAAGGCCTGGCGCGGAGAGAGCGAAAAAAAAAAAAGAAAGCTGTTGCGGAGCGTCCTCCTTTTTTGTCGCAGAGGGTAGCAATGATCCATTGATTTTGGAAAGGAGGGAAGAAAGCACCTAATTTCTGTCTGCCTCTTGGGTGACAAGGCGCAACGCAGTCTTAGCCGTCGTCTCTGAGTCACGGAGAGGGAAATCGCTTTGCACCGCTGCGCCGCTTCTCGGTCATGTGGCCCGCTGAGCGCTTTCTCAATCCTTTCCGCTGGCTGTGTGAGGAGGACGGCTCTCTCGGCCGCGCTTGGCGCGTCTGTAAGGTCGGCACAGTAGTTATGAAAAAGCCACGCCGAAGAGCTTCAAACTCCGCAGAAAACGTTATACTTAACACACTGCGGTCGTTTTTTTTGTAGACTATTTGATAGAATAATTTAGTTTGTTATATCCATTTACCGGTTAATTTTACTTCATTACAGTGAAGTTTAAAATGCATGGTTCTAAATGGAGCTTTTAGGGGGAATTTCATTTACATTGTTATATCCATTATTTTGTTATATTCAGTTATTTTTTAACGAGATTTGAGTGTACGACCAATTACGGTAGGGCAAACGACAAATCAGGGAGGCTGTAGCATTGCTGCAGCAGTACATTTGTATCCTGGTTTTTACCTGTAAGGTACAACGTATTTTCTCGCGTATAACGTCCACCCTCAGCAATGATCCACAGAAAATTTTCCAAAATTAATCCCCGCTTATTGTTGTAAAGCTAGCTTCTCTGCGTAGTGTTAAGCACCGCCCTGAAGCCACCTTTGCACACCGAGTATGTACGTTTGTTGTCCAGACTGTATTTCGTGTGAGCGTTACACGCAACAAAATATAGTAATTATTATGCACACGTTTTGAAGAATTTTGAGAATTTTTTTTCTCATATAGCAAAGCTGCTGTTCACCGTCAGAAGTGCGAGTAAGCAGCAACACTCCCGGTGATTCGACTAATTTGCTCAGGTGAGCCAGAAACTAATTGAAGAGCTTCATTTTTGGCACATCGTCTTTATTTTTTCTTCGTTTTGAAGGTGGTTGCATTTGCCAAGCGTTAATTGAAATCTACATGTCTTGGCCCCATAGGTCGGCGAAAAATACAGAGTTCACTCACACTCATTCGTGAAATATATTTTGCCTGACTTATACTCACCAAAATATCACTAATTCGGACTTGAACTCACAACTGGATCGAAGCCTGAGTGAGAAGACTTGTTAATAAGTTCACCGACCCATGCATGGCCCTGTATTTTCTCGCCTTCGGCTGTTCCGCACGGCCTGCTTGGCGTGCTGACAGTCACTGGAACTATTTGTCAAAGTTTTGTTAACTACCTTGCAAAAGCAGCTATTGACCAGGCACCGATGCGAAGATTTACCAGCCTCCTTCCCCCCCCCCCCCCCCCTGTTTTGTCACATGCAACTATTGTGCTTAATCGTCCTGCTTTATCAACATAATCGACCTGGCCCAAAAAACTCTCGATGCTGGTTTACAGCTGCATTCAAGGGGGCCATCGCTGCATTCTACGTGCTGAAAAAACTAACAGTGCATGGTGGGAAGCAAGGGGCGAGTTTTTCAACTGGTGGTGTGACAGCAGTGGATTGCAATGTGACTAAATTTTTCACTGGTGACGGCATGCATCGAGGTATTCGCAAGTAGAAATCTGGACACTTTCCATTGATCCAGCACATGTGTACAAGCTATGCGATCAGTATCATGGTGTCGCATGTCACATAAACAGTCCATGTCTTCACCGAGGAAACAAAGTCAAAGGCGCGCATCAAAACCAGCACGGTCAGGGCATTAGGTTGTCAAGACGACTGGCTTGACACTAATGAGTTAACATGTGTAGTCAGTCACTTATGTCATTAGCCCACTAAGATGGTGGCACATGAGCAATTAACAAACATTGCTGCATTGGCAGCAGCATGGTTTTGACTGCTTTATGAGAGGCGTAAGGAAAGCCATTGCCTTCAAGTGCTATACCTCGTTTAGAAGTACTAGCGACCAAACGAAGGCGGCTTTTCGTCGGCTGCGCTAACATTCTTTAGATATCACAGAGTCACAGGAAAGTGTGTGTCATAATCTTGCTAGGCAATGTTGCGCTATTTTTTTGTACGCACGAGCACAAAGCGGAATAAGTTATGTAAGCGAGACTGCACTCTCACAAATTATGAAGATATTGTTAACTCGGAAATGTTTTGAGCCATGTTAAGCAATTTTTTATTTTAATGTAAATAATGGCACATTATCATTGCTGGCTAAATGCTTCATTGAGGGTTTTTGTCGCATTTTTCTTGTGTTTGTGCTTCAAGAAATGCTGCATACCTATATGTTCTTTATTACACCAAAGGAAGCAGCATGCATTGTGTGGTGTCTCGATGTGGAGAAAACGCCAGGCTCTTGGAGTTAACGGACATAGCAGACGCGGTTGGAACAAATCAAGCCAAACAACACACATTTATTTAACTGCCTTAAGAACGACGATATTGTCAGCCGAATTATTACACATTGTGATCCACACGCTAAACAACCTTACACAGTATTACACAACACTCAACAAATCGACAAACAAAACACAAGTACACACTCAAGGTGGATTCTCCCACGCTTGACTTACCACGAGGGCCCCCGGCGCACAACCCGCAGTGCCGCGTAGCGGGGACTCACCGCTACCGTTCCTGTCTACCGTTCCTGCCTACCGCTGTTCCTGCCGTTCCTGCCTACCGTTCCATTCCTGCCTACCGCCACCCACCAAAGAGGCCCGCTCATCTCTCCCGTGCCGCCACCAAGACTTGCCGCTAGACGTCGCCGCCGGCGCTACGTTTTAAACAATCATGATGATGATGGTGGTAATCGCTCACGAGCACAGCACCACCTACCGCTCAATAGTTCATGAGCCTGACTATGTTTACTGCAGGACAAAGGCCTCTCCCATGTTCCGCCAGTCAACTCGGTCCTGTGCTTGCTGCTGCCAATTTATACCCGCAACTTCTTAATCTGGTCTGCCCACCTAACCTTCTGTCTTCCCCTAACCCACCTGCCTTCTCTGGGAATTCAGTTAGTTATCGTTAATGACCAGCGGTTATCCTGTCTATGTGTTACATGCCCGGCCCATGTCCATTTTCTCGATTTCAACTATGATATCCTTAACCCTGGTTTGTTCCCTAATCCACTCTGCTCTCTTCTTGTCTCTTGAGGTTACACCTACCATTTTCCTTTCCATTGCTCGCTGCGTCATCCACAACTTAAGCTAAACCATCTTTGTAAGTCTCCAGGTTTCTGCACCGTAGCTAAGTACCGGCAAGATGCAGCTGTTATATACCTTCCTCTTTATGGATAGTGGCAATCTACCAGTCATAATTTGAGAGTGCTTGCCAAATGTGCTCCACCCCATTCTTATTCTTCTAGTTGCTTCAATCTCGTGCTTCTACTCCGCGGTTATCACATGTCCTAAGTAGACATAGTCTTTTACAACTTCAAGTGCACTATTACCTACCTCGAAGCGCTGATCTCTTTTGAAGTTGTTGTACATTACTTTTGTTTTCTGTAGATTAATTTGAAGACCTACTTTTCTGCTCTCCTTGTCTAACTCCGTAATCATGAGCCGTACTTCATCCCCTGAGTTACTCAGCAATGCAATGTCATCGGCGAAGCGCAAGTTACTAAGGTACTCTCCATTAACTCTTATGCCTAACTGTTCCCATTCTTGGCCTCTTAAAACCTCCTGTAAGCACGGGGTAAATAGCATTGGGGAAATTGTATCCCCCCGCCTGACACCCCTCTTGATTGGTATTCTGTTGCTTTCTTTACGAAGCACTATGGTAGCTGTTGATTCTCTGTGGATGTTTTCCAGGATGTTTACATATGCTTCGTCGACGCCCTCACTCCGCGGTGTCTGCATGACTGCTGATATTTCTACTGAACCAAACGTCTTCTCCTAATCTATGAAGGCTATGTATAGTGGTTGGCTATATTCTGAGCACATCTCTATTACCTGACTGATAGTATGAATGTGGTCGATTGTTGAGTAGCCTGCTTGAAATCCTACTTGTTTCTTTGGTTGATTGAATTTTAATGTTGTCTTAATTGTGTTAGCAATTACCTTTGTAAATAGCTTGTATACTACGGAGAGCAAGCTGATCGGCCTGTAATTTTTCAAGTCCTTGTCATCTCCTTCCTTATGTATTAGGGTGATGTTACCATTCTTCCAAGATCCTGGTACTCTTCCCGTCAGGAGACACCTCGTAAACAGGGTTGCTAATTTTTCTAACACATTCTGTCCTCCACCTTTCAGCAGATCAGATGTTACCTAATCCTCACCAGAAGCTTTCCCTCTTTGCATGCTCTCCAAGGCTTTTCTGACTTCTATCATTACTGGTGGGTTGTCATCTGGGTTACTGCTAGTTCTTATATTAAGGTTGTGGCTCTGCTAGCTACTGTACAGATCTCTGTAAAACTCCTCCGCTAATTTAACTATCCTATCCATATTGGT